CTCCTCAGGAAGTACAGCCGCCGCTGGGCCTTCTTGACCAGCTGTGTGGTGTTAAGTGTCCAAGTGAGGTCCTCACTGATGTGGACACCCAGGTATTTGAAGCTGCTCACCCTCTCCACCTTGAGCCCCCAGATGAACAGTGGCTGATGAGATCTCCTCTCCTTCCTCATGTCCACTATCATCTCCTTCGTCTTGTTTGTGTTGAGGGTGAGATTATTGTCCTTGCACCACGACACCAGACCAGCCACCTCCCTCCTGTAGGTTGCTTCGTCCCCGCCAGTGATGCAACCAATGTTTTTCTTAATAGAAACCCCTGTGTGTACTAGCTTAGTGCTGGTATATTATGTAATATGTGCTAGATTTGACCTATAATTACCATGAGCTACTAAGTTGCTTTGGATCATCACTCTCACTATAATCATCATTTCACACTGTAATTTCCACTCATTATATGTCATTGGACTTAGATGGAATTTCTGATTAAGCTAATGATAAATCAGGGAGGTTGGTTAGCCATAGGCATATAGTAGGCCCGTTCACACACAAGCTGAGTGAGTATTTGCACACAATTTGTAAGAGCACAATTTGTAAGGGGGGCTGTGGCTCAGGAGGTAGAGCGGGTTGTTTCCTAGGAAGGAGGTTTGCATGCTGAATGTCCCAGAGGAATAGCTGTTCGATTCCCGGCTTGTCCAGTCAACATGTCGAAGTGTCCTTGAGCAAGACACTAAAGCCCCAGTTGCTCCTGGTGATAACACCGGTGTGTGAATGTGTGAGTGTTTGTGAGTGTGAATGGCTGAATAGTGTGAAAGAGTGCTGTAATGCATAGAAAAGGGCTATACAAGTATAAGACCATTTACTCAACCTTGGTTTTTGACACAGACAACTTTTAAGTTAAACTCAAATTATTCGTCTTATTTTTGTGCCTGCTCTTTCAATTCAGTCTCTCCTCTTTTTGTTTCTGTTTCTTCAGCTCCACAAGCTCCCTAATATGATTATTGTCTCAGTGTTCTCATTTCAGAACACCCAGTCTATCATGGAGGTTTGCATGCTGAATGTCCCAGCTGGGCTTTCCAAATCTTGATAGGTTTGGTGTAGGAGTGAACCACTGATGGTGTGTTGTGATTGTTGTAAGTGGCCCAATATTAATGGGCTTCAACAAGTGCATTACAGTTGTCTGTCACTATGGAGCTCCTGCCAGTAGCATGTCTTGGACATACAACTATCTGCCAGCAGATAATGTGCTTTTGTTAGTACACAGAAAAAGACAGTATATGTGTGATTATATAAAACCCAGTCTGACCTCTAATATTCTTAAGTTCATTAACTGAGTAAAAGGAGGAGACCCATGTAGCATATGCAAAGCATAAGCAGATAGATAGCTCATAGGCTGACCCAGCATGCTGTCTGCTTTTTTTAGTATGACATCAAGCAGAAGGTTGGCTTAGAGTGGGAGTGACACCTCATAAGCAGGTGCAAGAGAGCGAGGGTGACAGATGGTGAGTCCCCTGATGGTGTATCTCTCTCAGAGGATATAGTAGGGTACCTTCCCTTGATTGATCAGCTTTTTTAACATCCTGCAGGGACAAGGTGGCTGATTAGCCTCTGCATTTTCAGGGCTGATAGTTGAATAAATGAATGAATGAAGAGATGATTTCATGGATGAATGAGGTTTTATCTTATGGTTCGCTGATAGCTTTCTTCTTTCCCTCCACTAATTCTCTAATCCAGTTGCATCACTGGGCAACAAAAATGAAACTAACTTGCAGAAAGGTCACCCTTTCCACCGTGTAGTTGGATTAAATTCAATCTCCCAGTCTCCTCTCTGCCTCTTAACTTTAACTCCAAGGCCACAGTGTCATTAGTAATTAGACTCTGGATAGAATGGGAAAATGAAGTGTGAAGCACAGTAAGAAAACCAGTAAATGGGGAGAAAGTAGCTACACTAGCATCATATCACACTGGAACATGTGTGCATCTATGCATTTTGGCTTGTTTTGCTCTTTTCAGCGTGTCAACAGAGATGAGTGCACATGCTGACCTGTGCAATCGTCTATGGCCGATGTGAGGTAGGATGGAGTATCTGAATGGAGCATACATCAAGGAGGATGCTTACCAGGATTTGGAGATACTAATCAGATCAGGGGTCACTCTGGCCAAGGTTCCTTGTTTATTTTTCATCCCCCATCCCAGGCAAGGTTACAGTGAAATCTCAGCCTCAGCGGAGAGTAACACAAGGGAGTTGTCATTTGGGTTTTACTGGATTTGTGAGTTTATAGCATGACTGAAAGGTTTTGATTTAATGTCCTTTATGTGTCCTTTGGGTTTTGGTGGTAATTTGTGATTTCCCAGGACAGTTGAACTTGATGCATAATTTTTGATTAGTACAGTTCAAGACAGTAAAGAACAGTAAATGCTTCTGGGAATACAAAAATAGTGCACTGTCAACATTAATAAGCAGTTAAACACCTTTGTTTTGTGTTTCTTCATAGTTTTGTATCCCTTGTTAGTCATTTTGCATGTCTTGGTTGTCTTCATTGGTGTTTTTGTCTCTGTAGAGTTTTTAAGCATGTTTCTCTTGTCATTGTCCTTTTATAGTCATTTCAGTCTCATTGTGGTTGTTTTGTCAACCTTGAATATCTCATTGTAGTTTATTTAATGTCTTCATTTAGTCATTTTACCACTCTTTCTGGATATTTTGCATCTCCTTCTACTTGACCCTTTGGACACCTGGTTCTGCATCTGCAAGGCTAGATTAGTAATTTATTTATAAAACTAATGACAAACCCGTTACAGAATTTGGTTTCTATTTCCAGTTTGATGTGGCTACATCTGTAGTACTGTAAGAGATGCTGTGCTCTGTCTCGATTCTTTTTCCTTTCTATAGAAGCAGGATTACAGTAGAGGTAGATCAAGTCTTGAGGCATGTACAATCAGAACGAGCCTACTTTTCTTTCTAATTCTGGGGAACTATGTATCTCTAAATGTCGGTGTGATGCCCTCCAATGCCTCCTTTTGCCTTGTAACAGGAGCAAGCTGTTCCCAGGAGTACCGTGATGTTTCGTTGATCTTTCAGAATCTTGTGGCATTTTGGGGTGAAATAATGAATGCAGTTTGAGATTCAAGGACACCACCAAGAGGTAGACAAAGAAAGTTTGATAGAAAGAAGGTCTGGAAAAGGTCAGTGGAAGTGTGGTGAGAGTCAGGGGTGTATGGGAGTCTGCAGATATCTTTGTCTGCCTTCAGGAGGAGAAGATGAGGTAGATGATCAGGTGACTCAGAACAGCAGAAGGAGGTGTGTAACATATAGTTCAGAACTGCTAACACTTGAGTAGATGAGACGGGTGGGGATTCCCCTCTTGTCAACGTGGCTTATTTACTGATGGATGTTGTATCCTTGACCATCTGTACTACAGCTCTAAGGTGGTTTAGACCACAGGAGCCTGCTCCCCACAGACGCACAGCTGGATTAACCAAGGCCTCATTTATCACAGCCTCAGTTTGAGTTAGGTCAGGTACACAGATCATGTGCATATGCCTCATAATGAATAGGTGTACAGCATATGGTACTGACCTAATTTACAGTGTGGCAGTTCATTACTAACATCAAAGGGTAACCTCCACTTCTTTCACCCTCACCTCTTTTTATTCCCATCACAGCCTCTCCTTTCCGTCCATCAAACCAGAGTATTAGGACACAGAGATGTGATGTTAAGAAGGAAATGATGGGCAGGTCCCCCAGATCCTTTTAGAACAATGATGTAGGAGATAGAAGCTGTGGCAGAAACTAATGGGGTTTCACCATACTATGCTTCTGTTTTAAAACCAGTCTTGATAATTATGTGATTCTGTCATTCATCACACAGGGACCTTTAAAGCAATCGACCTGAACCACCAAGCAGAGTAGTTCACTGGCCCCTGAAGCTAATTTTTAATGTAGTTCATTCATGGAACATACAGCTAATAATATCAGTGTTTGATTTTAAAACAGAGCTGTCATACAGAAGTATTAATTACATTTAGACTGCAGAGATTTCAACTATAAAGTAGAAAAAATTAACTTAAAGCATGGATCAGGCCATATGTTTTTGTGTGAACCCAAACCATGCCAGAGAGTGTGGTGTCTGACCCCAACCCGATAAACTTGTAGTATATAATGTCCGAGCCCACACATAGTTGAGTCTGTATGGTGTTTTCCCCCTTATCATTAAACGAAGCAGACATTCGACTGCCCCATTATCTAGCCTAAAGTTTGACCTACATCAAATGTAGGATGGATATCCTGGACCCAAAGATAAATCTGTGAACAGCAATTTTCAAGTCTTGCCACAGATTCTCAATAGGATTTAGGTCTGGACTTTGACTGGGCCATTCTAACACATGAATAAACTTTGATCTAAACCATTCCACTGTAGCTCTAGCTGTATGTTTAGGGTCGTTGTCCTGCTGGAAGGGGAAACTCTGCCCCCGTCCTAAGTCTTTTGCAGCTTCTATGGTGCTGCCACCACCACGTTTCACGGTGGGGATGATGTGTTCAGGTTGATGTGCAGTGTTAGGTTTCCACCACACATAGCGTTTTGCATGTAGACCAAAAAGTTCAATTTTGGTCTCATCTGACCAGAGCACCTTCTTCCACATGTTTACTGTGTCCCCTACATGGCTGTGGGAAACTACAAACAGGACTTCTTATTGCTTTCTTTCAACAATGGCTTTCTTCTTGCCACTCTTCTATAAAAGCCAGATTTGTGGAGTACATGACTGATAGTTGAACTGTGGACAGATTGTCCCACCTGAGCTGTGGATCTCTGCAGCTCCTCCAGAGTTACCATGGGCCTCTTGTCTGCTTCTCTGATTAATGCTCTCCTTGTCCGTCCCATCAGTTTAGGTGGACGGCCATGTCTTGGTAGGTTTGCAGTTGTGCCATACACTTTCCATTTTCGGATGATAGATTAAACAGTGCTCCATGAGATGTTCAAAGCTTGTGATATGTTTTTATAAGCTAATCCTGCTTTAAACTTCTCCACAACTTTATCCCTGATCTGTCTGGTGTGTTCCTTAGTCTTCATTATGCTGTTTGTTCACTAATGTTCTCTAACAAACCTCTGAGGCCTTCACAGAACAGCTGTATTTATACTAAGGTTGAATTACACACAGGTGGACTCTATTTACTAATTAGGTGACTTCTGAAGGCAGTTGGTTGCACTGGATTTATTTAGGGATATGAGAGTAAAGGGGGCTGAATACATAGGCATGCCACACTTTTTAGATTTTTATTTGTAAAAAATCTTGAAGATGATGTATCATTTTCCTTCCACTTCACAATTATGCAATACTTTGTGTTAGTCTATCACATAAAATCCCAATAAAATACATTTAGGTTTGTGGTTGTAATGTGAAAAAAATGTGGAAAAGCTCAAGGGGTATGAATACTTTTGCAAAGCACTGTAGATAAAACAAAGTTATGATGACCATTAGTGTCCACACTCCCTCAGGCGTCCCTGTGCGAGCCTATTTTTACCTGGAGATACAACAAACAAATCTTTTGTTGTGATCATGGATAAATCTTGGTTGGAACAATAGCTAAAGGTAATGATGTCAGTTGACGTTTTACAATAAAAGCACTTTTTAAATTCAGAGTATTGATCTATGTATGTGTCTGTAGCCCTTCAAATGTACAGTGGCTTCAGAACCCTTCACCTATTGTTCACTTGATTGTGCAGTATTATATAGTTAGTTTTAAAGGGATAAAATTGCCATTTTTTTTTATCATTCTGTACTCAATGACGAGAAATGACACTGTGAAAAGCTGATTTCAGAATTTTTATTATGCTTCCTGGAATAGCCACTGCTGGAGGCATTATGATTTCAGGCTGGCCGACTGGCCCATTCTTGTGAGCATATCTCAGGAAGGCCTTGAGGGAATTTCTTCAAATTCAACACAAATGTCCACTTTGACTCAAGAATGAACTCATTAGATTTTGGTGGTCAGAGGTCACTGTGACCGTCTGTCCGTTCCCATGAATTTCACTGGTTGGCGGAGACATATAACCGTGAAGCAGTAATTCTAGTTTATAAGTTAATTAAAAATCAAAAACTGGAATCTCTCATTTACTAAACTATTCAGACCATTAATTAAGTATAAGTTATTTTGACAGCAGTTACAGTGTAAAGGCTGTGATGAATGAGACCTTGGGCAAATATGGCAACATTCTTCATTTGAAATTATATCTACAACACAATTAAATGTGCAAAAAAGTGAGGGGATCTGAATACTTTTTGAAGCCACTGTAAGTGAAATGGAAAAACATTTTTTCATCAAATCTGCTTTCCATTGCGGTGGAAAAAGAAAATGTGTTCAAGCAGAGTAACAGACATAGAGACTCTTGGATACATTAATATAAGCCGGTCGTATCTCTTTCTTGATAGGAGCCTGTTGTTCCCACCCACGCATGGTTCCAGGGTTCAGAGAAAAACTGCCCTGCCACAGATGCCTTGGCATGTCTAACTGAACGGACCACTCCAGCCTTGGGAGATTAGACTGCAAAGTCTTTTCTCCATTAAGAACAACTCTGTGTAAGGGCTTGGGTGTTGGTCTTAGAGAGTATATGGAAGAAGTGTTGGAATGATGAAAACAGTGGCGATCAAACGGAGGCATTTGCCCAGTGCCCTGGCTGTGTGCATACACTGGCAAATAACTGTATGTTCTTTTTTGCTGAAGGTTGGTTACTGGGATTAAGTGGATAAAGGTTCTATAGAAGTTACTCCTAAGAAATAGTAGAGGTTGCATAATTGTAATTCAGTTAAGTAAATCTAATAGAACCATGATTGATTACCACCTACTTTTAATAAGCTGTAATTTTGTGGCATACTCTTGATGGACATTATGAGATTAGTATGAAATGGTCACACCCACTTCTCACTGTCCAAGAAGCTTCTCATGCGTTATTTTTGAATCCGTAATTTGATACTCTCAGCAACCAACGTGGTTTAACATTTATGTTTATTAGTGGTGGTGGCAAAATGTGTAAAACTGCTTTTTCACTTTTCCTCTGCATTCTGCATAAAGCTGAGGCACCTGGAGTCAACCACTTTTACTTTCAAGTTCTCACTGGCATCATGTGTTTTGTTATAAAATATGATATTGCATTCACTGTATCCCTGCTTCTATTTGAGCTCTTATTACATGTATGCTGGAGTGTTAGGATGGTAATGTTACCTCTTCAAATGGTGGAAAAGGTCTGTTGTGTTTCCTGTTGGTCAGGTCACCTGCTGCTTATCTGGCTTTACTGAACCATTTTAAAATAAAAGATGCTATGTGGCTTGTTTGTCCTGTGCGGCTGTCTGAGGGTCTGTTGCAGTAACCACACTTATTAAGGAGTAGTCAAGTGCCCACTTCTGTGACATGTTTCCAGTAATTGCCACAGTGTCCAAGTGCTGGTGAAGACATACAATGTGGGGGAGTTATCACAGCTCACTGGGACCTTTTTTGAGTTAGACGTCCTTTCCCTCCAATACATATTCTGTAAATGGTGTAATTGAGCCCAGAACAACACAAAGGTCAGATCAAGCATATAGTTTTACAGTCTTATGAATATACATTTGTAAGCAGGGAGGAGGAATTTTACATAACAGACATAGGATGATCTTATTTTTGAATTCTTTCTGTCTTGTTAAAATGTTTGATTTCTCAAAGTCATAACCTAATCTGCTGATTATTGTTGGTTATAATACTGGCTTATACAGTAGGTGCACTACCATCAACAACTGGACTGGTGTGTCACACTAGACTGTGGAGAACTGTGGGATAAACGTAGAAGCAGTATTAGGAGAATTATGCATCATGTGCATGCCCATTGTACTGTGTTGGTGTTTGTCCGACATCTCTACACACTTAACTATTATATAAATTAATAATGAAGGTTAATTAGTTACAGTAGTTTTGTACCTGTTTTAGGGAAGCTGCATCATGCTTATAATTAGTAAAATGTTTTGTGCCTGCATTACATGGGAAATAATCTAGAGGGACATAATTTCATGTGTGCTGTCCTTCAGAATGTCATTTGTTACCTTAGAAAGCTTTGTAATCTTGACTAGAATCTGTGAGTGATGGGTTTTTGGAGAAGGAAATAAATTTAAGCAGCTCGTTTTAATCTTTATTCTAACACACATTAGTTAGTAGGCATGTCTAGACCTCAGGTTACTACTATCATCCTGGTGGAAGTACAATTATTAACCTTTTATTTCTTTGTCTTTTGTTTTGTCTGTCTAGCTGAAGAGTGTCATGCAACACATCAACCTCCAGATCAGTCATGACTCCAAAATGTAAGTCCTCCTGCAGCCAAGAGAACCTGGCTGCAGACAGGATGGTGGACTGCCGACCCCGGCAGCAAGTAGTTGATACAAGCCAGATGCTGTTGACCTTGGTTGATTCACAGCTGAGGTTGACCGTGTAGAAATTTTGGGCATGATTCACCTTCTTGTCTGCAGCCACGTCCCTGCCCCTGCAGCTGATGTTTATTTTTGTCTTTCACCACTCTCATACTAACACTGACTCACAAAAGATGTAATGTTACCAATTTAATTCTTTGATGGCACTCATTGACATTTCATGTTGAAATATAACCAGTCAGTTTGATATCAGTGACCTGGAACAAGGACGGGACATAGTTGGTGAGAGCAGCTCTTTCATCTTGTCACTGGCATTAGTGAGTTTGCAGTTGCATGTTTTAAAATGTAACTTCAGAACACCTGACTACTTTCTCTGTAGCTTTTAGAGGTAGATGAAATTACAAAGTAGAGCTCTTGAGGCAATTAGCTTACATTTTCCAGTACTGTCTCCAAAGTTCCTGTCTGCAGCAGATATTTTCCCTAATTGTCTGCTCAAACTCGGGTGTACCCTTGCATTTGTCATAAAGCATGAAATGCCATTAGAACTGTTTGGAAACTTTGAAAGCAGAGTTTTACATTTACAGTTTTCACTGTAATAAGTTTGACTGATCTTTCTATAACAGAAATTAGTGCCATGCATAGATGTATCAAAAAACTATTATGCATTGAAAAAGTGTTTTTGGGCTGAAGAATATGTGACTGAAGACAAGAAATGCAGCAATGAATATGTGAGAAACGGTGAACAATAAATTCCAGTTTTCTTTTATAATTAGAAGTACTTTTTGTATTTAACTTGTATGGCATAATTTAACATAAATGCAGTACAAAATTCCAGTAATGGATGAAATTACAGTATATAGAAGTAATTCAGATTAATATAAAAAAAAATATGCATATAATTTTGTCATTGTGTCTTGATAGAGTGAGGCAAATAAGTATTTGATACACTGGCGATTTTTCAAGTTTTCCCACTTAAAGAGAATGGACAGATCTGTAATTTTCATCGTAGGTACACCTCAACGGTGAGAGACAGAATCTACAAAAAAAATCCAGAAAATCACATTGTTAGATTTTTAAATAATTTATTTCCATTTTATTGCATGAAATAAGTATTTGATACAATAGAAAAATAGAATTTAAAATTTGGTACTGAAACCTTTGTTTACAATTACAGAGGTCAGATGTTTCCTGTAGTTCTTGACCAGGTTTGCACACACTGCAGCAGGGATTTTGGCCCACTCCTCCATACAGGTCTTCTCCAGATCTTTCAGGTTTTGGGGCTGTTGCTGGGCAACACGGAGTTTCAGCTCCCTCCATAGGTTTTCTATTGGGTTCAGGTCTGGAGACTGGCTAGGCCACTCCAGGACCTTGAAATGCTTTTTACGGAGCCACTCCTTAGTTGCCCTGGCTGTGTGTTTGGGGTCATTGTCATGCTGGAAGACCCAGCCACGACCCATCTTCAATGCTCTTACTGACTTCACAGTTGGGGCGGTGTTCTTGGGATTGCACTCATCCTACCTCTTCCTCCAAACACGGCGAGTGGAGTTTATACCAAAAAGTTCTATTTTGGTCTCATCTGACCACATGGCCTTCTCCCATGCCTCCTCTGGATCATCCAGATGGTCTTTGGCAAACTTCAAACGGGCCTGGACATGTGCTGGCTTGAGCAGAGGGACTTTGCGTGCGCTGCAGGATTTTAAGCCATGATGGTGTAGTGTGTTACTAATGGTAACCGTTGAGACTGCGGTCCCAGCTTTCTTCAGGTCATTGACCAGGTCCTCTCGTGTAGTTCTAGGCTGATCCCTCACCTTTCTCACGATCAGTGATACTCCACGAGGCGAGATCTTGCATGGAACCCCAGTCCGAGGGAGACTGACAGCCATCTTGAATTTCTTCCATTGTCTAATAATTGCACCAACAGTTGTTGCCTACTCACCAGGCTGTTTGACTATTGTCCTGTAGCCCATCCCAGTCTTGTGCAGGTCTACAATTTTGTCCCTAGTGTCCTTAGACAGCTCTTTGGTCTTGCCCATAGTGGAGAAGTTGGAGTCTGATAGATTGAGTGTGTGGACAGGTGTCTTTTATACAGGTAATGAGTTCAAACTGGTGCAATTAATACAGGCAATGAGTGGAGGATAGGAGGGCTTCTTAAAGACAAACTTGCTGGTTGGTAGGTGATCAAATACTTATTTCATGCAATAAAATGGAAATAAATTATTTCAAAATCTAACAATGTGATTTTCTGGAATTTTTTTGGGGGTAGATTCTGTCTCTCACAGTTGGTGTACCTATGATGAAAATTACAGATCTGTCCATTCTCTGTAAGTGGGAAAACTTGAAAAATCAGCAGTGTATCAAATACTTATTTGTCCCACTGTAAGTAGGACCTCATCCCCATATACAGATGGCTCAGTATACTGTAGAGCTAAAAATGCATTTGTTATACTGGAGTTATGCATGACAGACAACAGAGAAGCTGTAGCCTTTTGTGTTGATAGGTTCATTTGAGTAGGTTGAGATTTTAATGTGTGAGTGAACTCAACACATTTTACACTATATCCTTATAGTCTGGCACTTGATAGCCAGTGTCTGCACCTCCTTTTCCACTGGTGATGATTTTTTTTTCTTCAGTATTTCTGACCTTTTGGGAGAAAGAAGGCCATTAGATCCCTTTAGGAAGTGTGGATGACCACTCATCATAGTGAGCTAAATGAGAAGGATGCCTAGATAGAGTTGTAACAAAAAAGAGAGAGGAAGAGTGATAGATGTAAGCAGAGGACAAAAAGAGATGGCGATGGGGAGTTGAGAAATGACGTGTTGACAGTGATGTCAAAGACTGACAGCCCTCCCCTCTGACATCTACTGTATGAGACAGATCCAGCAGTATGAATACTGAAACATCAGGCAAAGAGGGGACAGTGACGCATAGAAAGGCTTTCTCCTGTGTAACTTGAAATTCGTTGTCAAAGAGAGCACCAGTGGCTCACAGGGTGACATTCTGAGCCAAACTTTACTTTATCTTCTTCTGCTTTTTCTTCCACTGAGACACTTGTACTTAATTAAAAATCCTAAAAACTTTGTTCACCATTAAATAATGTAAATACAGGCATAGATGGAGCACAAGGTGACAACCTTAAAGTCCTTTTCTTTTTCCATTTTTTGCTTTTTCCTCTGTCCCTGACTATCCAAGTCTCCTACTAGCAGTTGAAAAAAAACCTAAGTGCTAAGTTCCATGCCAACCTTGAGTACCACTGGTGATATGAACATTCAGCTTTATAGGGAGAACAGTTGCACTTCAGAGAGCACTGGTTGGTAACCCATTGAGTATTGACTGTGCACCTTTCCACTGTCAGACCTATGGGATTTAAAGGTGACAGGTTTGTTTTGTGTGCGCATGTACTGTACAGTTGGTGTGAGACAGGGGAAAAGGAAAAAGACAAAGGCAGTCTTGTTCGAAGTGCTGCTAGCCAAGTGTGCAAAACATGTTCTAAGAATGTTGTTTTTATTCAGCTCAAATCCAGAATTAAAAAGCCTGACGTTTCCAAGCCAAAAATAAAACAGACAGAAGGAAAACAAGAATGGCAGACAGACATGGTGTAACTGTTTGTGTGTGTGTGTGTGTGTGTGTGTGTGTGTGTGTGTGTGTGTGTGTGTGTGTGTGTGTGTGTGTGTGTGTGTGTGTGTGTGTGTGTGTGTGTGTGTGTGTGTGTCTTAGCTTTGGGTTTAGCTCAGGCTCTCTCCGCTCTGTCTGCATTCCCATTAGAAGAACGTTCTGGTCTGTGGCAGAGGATTTGAATATCACAGGCTCAGGGGTAATGCGAACATGGGGATACAGATTGGCAGGATGTTTTTTTTACTGCCAGTTCCATCATCAGTAGCAGCAACATTGCATTTATTTTATGACTTCAGTATTTGCATGCTCTCATTGTGACCTTTGTATAGAAAGTGTAGAGCCAGGGAGTCCCCTGAGGCTCTTCATAGAAAATAACTGCTGATGTGAAATCACATTTTGACTTCTCATAGCAGGGAAGACACAGGTGGCCTGATTCTGTCTTGAAGTAACAGAACCCGCCACTTCAAAAGCTCACCAACACTTCTTATCTGGTGTGATAGGTTTTTTTGATATGTATCGCAGTTTGCACAAAAAAACGACATAAAAATGACAATATGTGTCAAAGACATTATTGTCTGGAAAAATCATTGTGGGACATAATACGTTTGATGACTTCTTGAATTTGGGGGCATGAATATGTCTATCCAATCAAATGTGATTTGGGGTGGCTAGCTAAGCCTCCCCATCATATAAAGCCATGCTGGACCATTAGCTTGATGGTCTTTATCATATCACACTGTATTTGCTCAGCTATGACCACTTTTGAGGGATCCATGTAAAGAATGTTATTTATATGTATTATTATGGTCAAATATGCTCTAATTTTAATTTCACTGTGACTTTAAAAATGTCTTTTTAACATGGTAACTTTAAAGGAACAATCTGGTGTCTAAGTTTTATACCCGTTAAATGAAAGCATATTAAAATTTTGAATGCTGGAAAACTGAATTAAACACTGAGAGTAGATGCTGCACATAAGTAACTGCTTAGTACAACATTATTTGCATTTTTCCTTTTAATGGCGGTCATTGTTACTCGCGCTCTCATTTGTTGTTTTACTTTGCTTTTTTGGTTTTGTGCAACTCATCCCGGATTACTTTTATCAGAGAAGAACTGTTAAATATCAGACAACTCACACCGAACTACCTTTCTCCAATTTTTGCGAACGAACAATGCTGTATGGACATTCTGATCGGAGGTGCAGCTGCCATATACGGGACCTGGAAAAAATGCCGCCGTAGAAAGCGAGCAGGCACCTTTGTGAGGATACGCCAGAAAGGGACACAGACTCCACTCCCGTCTATCCACCTAGCAAATGTCTGCTCCCTAGCCAACAATTCTTCTCGTCAACAGGACAAACTCTGACTTTGCACGCTCTGCTGCTTTATGCTTCACGGAGACCTGGCTCAGCGACTCCATCGCGAACAGCACGATACAAGTACCAGGTTCCAGGTGTACAGAGCGGATCGCGTAACGGAGCTGTCTGGGAAAATGAGAGGAGGTGGAATCTGTCTCTACATAAATGAAGGTTGGTGCTCTGATGTCACAGTGCTACAGAGGATATGCAAGACGGACTTAGAGACTCTCTTTATCAGTTGCAAACCTGTTTATTCTCCCCGAGAATTTAACTCTTTCATTCTAATCAGAGTGTACCTAAGACTGCAGGCCCACGCTAGCGCACTACAGCTCCTGGCCGAACAGATAACTAGGTGGAGCTAGAATATCCCGACTCCCCACTCATTGTTCAGGGTACTTGAACAGAGCAAATCTCACAAACTGCCCAAATACAGACAGCATGTCACCTGTCCCGTCAAAGACAAAATCACATTGGACAGATTATACAGATTTGTACAGGTCTCTATTTTTAAGTACTCTATTTTTATTCGTATATCTCATTTCAGTGAGCATTCCTTTGTTTGTCTGCATTGTTTACTGCCTGTTTATACTGCTTATTTTGCATTGTTTACACTGTTTGTTGCTTGTTAATACTGCTAATACTTATTTTGTTATATTACACAGCCTTATGCTGGTTTACCGTTTAATTGCCCCTTGCATGGGGATATGTACATACACATTGAGAGCCGATGTACCAGAGTTAAATTCCTCATGTGTCCAACACACCTGGCCAATAAAGCAGATTCTGATTATGATCCGGTCCACCGCACAGCCCTCAGACTTTCAGATGACTGTATGGTCCATCTTATTCTAACCTACAGGCAGAAACTTAAAGCTGCGAAGCCTGTGGTCAAAACAGTGAAGAGCTGGACTGAGGAGGATAAATCAGAGCTACAGGCATACTTTGAATGCACAGACTGGAGTGTATTTGAGACTGCAGCTACAGACTTGGACGAACTCACTGACACTGTCATTTTATATCAGATTTTGTGAGGATGTGTGTGTGTGCTCAACAAGTCCTTCTGCACAACAAAAACAACAACAACAACAAGTCCTGGTTTACAGCCAGACTCAAGCAGCTTCGTCGTGCCAAAGAGGAGACCTACAGATGGGGGGGGACAGGACTCTGTACAGCCAGGCCAGGAACACACTGACAAGAGACATCAGAGCAGCAAAGAGGAGCTACTCTGAAAAGCTGAAAGCCCAGTTTCAACCAGCGACCCCTCGTCTCTGTGGAGAAGACTGAAAAGCATCACTGGCTATAGGAAACCATCCCCCACTGCTGTGGAGGACCGTCAACTAGCAGACGACCTGAATGTGTTCTACTGCAGGTTTGACAAACAACACTCCCCCCTCACCCTCTCCACCTCGGATTCAGCAGCTGCTCCCATGGCAATCACCATCCTTACCTCCAGCCCCCCACCTCTAAGGATCTGTGAAAAGGATGTGTGGCTTCTTTAAAAAAAACAAAGGATCAGAAAAGCACCAGGCCCAGATGGTGTGACCCCCTCCTGCCTGAAAGTGTGTGCTGATCAGCTGGCCCCACCTTCACACTCATCTTCAACAGGTCACTGAAGCTGTGTGAACTCCCCACCTGCTTCAAATGCTCCACCATCCTTCCAGTCCCCAAGATAACTTCCATCAGTAGACTGAACGTCCACAGACCTGTCGCCCTGACATCTGTAGTTATGAAGTCCTTTGAAAGACTGGTGTTGGCCCACCTGAAGGACATCGTAGACCCCCTGTTAAACCCCCCGCAGTTTGCCTTCTGGGCAAACAGGCCAGTGGACGATACAGTTAACATGGTACAGCATTACATCCTGCAACACCTTGACTCCCCAGGGACCTATGCACGGGCCTTCTTTGTGGACTTCAGCTTGGCATTCAACATCATCATCCCAGACATCCTCCACTCCAAATTGACCCAGCTCACTGTGCCTGCCCCCACCTGTCAGTGGATTACTAGCTTTCTGACAGACAGGAAGCAGCAGGCGAGGCTGCAGAAAACCACGTCCAGCACCTGGACAGTCAGCACAGGCGTCTCACAGGGATGCGTGCTCTCCCCTCTGCTGTTTTCATTCTACACCAATGACTGCATCTCGAAGGAACCCTCTGTCAAGCTCCTAAAGTTTGCAGATGATACAATGGTCATTGGTCTCATCTGAGACAGTGATGAGTCAGCCTACAGACGGGAGGTTGAGCAGCTGGTCACGTGGTGTAGTCACAACAACCTGGAGGTGAACATGCACAAAACAGTGGAGATGACAGTGGACTTCAGGAACCTTCAGGAACCCTTACCCCCCCCCCCCCACCATACTTGGCCGCACTGTAACAACTGTATCAGCAGTGAAGTCCTACAAGTTCCTGAGCCCTCCCAGGACCTGAAGTGCACGGCACGTCCAACATCAGGACCATCACCAATAAGGCACAGCAAAGGATGTACTTCCTGCGCCAGCTCAGGAAGTTTGACCTGCCCCAGGAGCTGCTGATACAGTTCTACAGAAGAATCATCGAGCATGCACCTCTATCACTGTCTGGTTTGGCTCAGCAATCAAACAAGACAAGTACAGACTTCAGCGGACACTTAGGACTGCAGAAAAGGTCATTGGACCTGCCCTCCATGGAGGACCTGTATACCTCATGGGTCAAAAGGAGGGCGGAGAGAATCACTGCAGACCCCTCACACTCTGGACACAATCTGTTTGAACTCCTCCCCTCTGGACGGTGTTACAGGTCACTGTGCACCAAGACAAACCAGGCACAGGGACAGTTTCTTCCCCCAGGCCATCACTCTGATGAACACTTAACCAACGACAGTAGGATTGGACAATAACCCTCAGTGCAATACCTGTAAATATACATTGTACAGATTATACAGATTTGTGCAGATCACTAGTTTTAAGTACTCTGTTTTCATTCCTACATCTGTTAATGCTTCTTTTGTTATACCAGCCTTGTGTTGGTTTACTCTTTACTTGCCCCTTGCATGGGGATATGTACATGCACATTGAGAACTGATGTACCAGAGTCTAATTCCTCGTGTGTCCGACACACCTGGCCAGTGAAGCTGCTTCTGATTCTGAAGTATGTTGCACACACAAGGAATTTGTTTCCGGTACAGAACCGAGGCAGCCATCTGCGGTGCCAACTCACACGGATGGCTTTAACCATCGGGGGCAACTTGGGGGTTCAGTGTCTTGCCCAAGGACACTTCAACATGTGGACTGCAGGCACTGGGATTCGACCCTCCAACCCTCTGTTTGGGTGATGACTGCTCTACCCACTGAATCACAGTCGCCCCCAATACTTATAAACATGTCCAAACACGCATCCCAGCCTTTACCTGCATAGCATGTCATATGTAAAAACACTCTTAAAACTAGTGATTATTATTCAGTGGTTACTAACACGTGATATCTAAACTCCTTTCCTAAACTTAAAAAGAAACCAGAATCTAGCATTTCTAACTATGCTTCTGAGAATCACCAACATGGTTCATAATGAGGCCATGATATATTTCTGAGACAGTTTGGCTGAAACATACTTTTGTGTTAGAAAACATTTAGGTACAGGAACCACTACAGAAAGAACAGATGTGTTTTCATATGTCTGTGCTTTGGCTTTGTCTCCTCAGGAAGCCAGACACAATTAAACAGAAGAATGCCTTCCCACCAAACTTCATTCACTCTCTGGACTCCACACACATGATGCTCACTGCTCTCCACTGCTATAGGTATATGCATTTTTTAATATCTGTTTTTAATACCTTTTTTCTGTGCCACTCTGTTCATTCTTTGTTTGGTTCCTCTGATTTCCATTCCTGCATCGAACTCTCTCCTCTCCTTTCAGTGCTGGTCTGACATTCGTCTCAGTTCATGACTGTTTCTGGACCCACGCCCTCACTGTGGACACCATGAACAAGGTATTACATTACAGTACAGTCTTAATTTACTCCTGCCTGTCCAGATTCTTTCACCATTCCCTGTACTTTTCATCCTTTCACAGCTGTTTCCATCCCATCTCCTTGTATATACCATTGGCCTTTTGTATTCCCCTTTTTTTTGCTGATGAATTGAAGTTAAAGGTGTCATTGCAAATCGGAGTCAGCTCCTCTTATCCAGGCTTCTCTTCATTTTTTTTTTTTTTTTGAGACAGAAGAATGGTTGTATAATTGGGAAAGTATAGAGCACTCAAGTTGTTTTTGCATTTTTACAGTGGATGCTCATTATAAGAAATATTTCTGTAGCATCATGCATGCTTGTGTTAAGGTAGAAACCTCTTTTTTGCAATACCAGTAAAACACACCTACACCTTATGTCTCATAAATCTTTATGCTGCTGACTGCAGGTACAGTAGCTCTATCAGTCAGAGCCTGTTATGTTGAATAACTACCCATCTGCCAAATCTAGACTGTCAACAGGCCCAGACTGAAACAGCGTAGAATAAAATAGACCACATTACCATAAAGCCCCAATTTTCTGTAGATGAAGTTTCAGCACACAGTCCCAGTTTTATGTGTTCACCCAATCTCAGAGGACCAAGTGAAGCAGTGCCCTCTCAGTACATTTATTCTCTCTCATATTCTGTTGTTGACATGTCAGTGTAGGAGCCCTAGCTCATTACATAGGTAACTGAACACAGCTGCAGGAAGGAGGTACAGTATTAAATGTCTTAGGCACATGAAACAGCCTTATTTTAATGACAACTCATCCTTCCACCTATTTTCTGAAATTCCCATCCTGTTACACAGGGTTGGAGTCTATCCTAGCATGCACTGGGTGAGAAGCAGGTTACACCCTGAACATGCTTCATAGACGGATACCCAAGACAGCTTATTGACATACATGTGCATGTGGGGCATAAAATACAGAGGAGGAGCTTTTGTTCTTCAAACTTCACAAACTGCAAAAGTAGTGAGTGGAAAATGTTCAAACTCCTGGTCAGTGTCTTGGATTCTAACGAGATGGTAGATGGTTTGGAACAAGAACTGGTGAGGAAACACCTGATTTAAGGTTGGACATTTTACACTGGTACATGTTTAACAAACAGTACATATGTTTATGCGAAGCTCAATGATCAATGCTTTGCTGATCAGTTTGACCTGTGTTGAGATTTTCAGTGTGAATAAAGTGACTACAGTCACTGTGCTCACAGTGCTGCCCAGACTTGGACCTAATTAACAGTGAGGTTCTCACTGCCCACAGTTCTCACCACCACATGTAGTGATGATTAGCATGACCAGCTTGTTTTACTGTCTGGAGTTCTATGTGTCACGTTACAGTAGCTAGCGAGAACTGCCTAATGTACAGAATAAGCTAAAGCAAAAAATTCAGTTTCACTGGTTTTTCAGTAAGTTTCTGTATTTGAGTACTTAAAATGACCATATGTAAGCTGTCTTTACATTGTGGCAGCATGCTTTCTAACCTATGCTGAGTGAATCTCCTTGAATGTTTGTAAATAGCAAACCCATCTGTGTCACATAATGATAATTTGCTGTTGGTAGAAAAAATGATATCACCTCTTTTTCCCAGGTAGGTTGTTGTATTGTCTTTTTCAACAGTGATGTAAATCAGATTCGCCCTGCACACGCCATTTTAGCCTGGATGCAGGAACAGAGAAGATATGTTGCTGTTTAAGTTGTGGGGATCTATTTGCCTGACTGGGGACAGACTGATGCTCATTCTCTCTCGCTACTTTCTGTCCTCTTACCCTGCACCCTATCATTATCAATTGTTCAGACTACAGTAATTCAGAGTACACTTTTCTTTGTCTCTCCCTCCTCCTGTCAGGTCTGCCGAGAACAATTTGTCGCCCTGCACAGCCAGCCAGTCCTTCAAGAGCTGTCCGACTACCTGCTACACAAATACATCGTTGCGCCCCCGTGAGTTTGCACACACATACGTCTCAGGAACAACACAGAAACAGGGATTATTGTCTTTTTATATTTTAGCAGCTTTTATTCTGGGACAAATAACTTGTCATACAGTTTTTACATGTTATGAAAACATAATGTAATAGTTACACATTAATATTTTTTACACTTTGTTACACCCCCATCTGCAGTCTGTCCTTTCTCTGTTTCTTACACAACAAATCATGATTGCCATCAGTTTCTGTCTATGTTTATGCTTATTATCTTTATAAAAAGTGATTAAAGCAAGTTTATTTCAATGAAGACATCTGTCTAAAATAAAACCTTTCCATTCTTTTAGAAAATGTGTAAAAGGAATCCATGTTTTTATTGGTTCAGGCTTGGATTATTATAATGCCCTCTATACTGGTATTAATCAAGCCTCTGTTTTACAACTTCAGTTGGGTCAGAATGCAGCAGCTCATCTTATAACAGGTGCATGCAAACGGGATCATATCACTCCAATCCTTTCTTCATTACACTGGCTCCCACTCTAGGATTGGTTTTAAAATACTGTTGTTTGTTTTTAAAGCTGTGAATGGTCTGGCACCCCCTTACCTTTCTGATCTTTTAAATTGCCACAATTCAATAAGGTCCTCAAACGAGCTGCTCCTGGAGGTCCCCATATCTAAGCCCTGTGACACACCAGGCCAACAGCCACGGTTTGACAGTCCGTGAGTGTCTGTTTACCTTGTCTTTCTGGTATGTGCCTCACTATTGACACTAGTTGGACCCTGTTGGCAGCTTTTCAGCCAATTCAGCATGTTGAATCACCAGCAGACCTTGTCGGTGCAAGTGACCACTGTAAAGCGAATCGGTGCAAGAGAGGAGAAAAGTTCAGGAACGCCCCTTCAGACTGTCTCTGTAGTATCCATGATTTCACATATTTAGTGATTTTAGTATTTTCTCCTCGTTGCCTCTGCAGGCTCCTCTCTTCTTCAACAGCCATTAGAAGCATCCATAAACAGCAGCTGTGTTGAATGACAGCTACTTTATTTACATTTGTATTTTTGCATTCTACCTCTTCTTCTTTCCCTTTCGAATGGCAAATACAGACACTGCCACCTGCTGGTAGGGAGACTTATTTTTGTCACACACGCGCATAGACCATATGTACTAGTTGGCTATTGGCTGCAGTCTGCACAGTGTGTTCAAGTGCCACTTTTTCAACACAACTGGCCCAGACAGTAGCAGACATGTGATTTTTAACCTTATATATTCTCATGCCAAAGCTTTTCCTGTGCTTGTTTGTGAGTTTAGGTTTAAAAGGGTTTTCTTTCCCTCTTTGTATCCTACTTCCTCCCCTCAGGCTGGGTTATGCTCATCATCAGACTGTATTTTTCTCTCTTTGGGATAATTGGATACCTTTTCCTCAGCCTTTACTCTGCACTTGCCCTTTTTGTTTTTCTGTCTCGCTCATATACACATAGACACATGACTGTTCCTTAAACCTTGCAAACAAATTTTTCAAACATGTCTACTCTACCAAGCATCAGAGACGAGGACTACAAAGTCACATTGGGTCACCTCAGTTGTCACAAGATTTTTTGTGTTCTGCTTATTATTCGTTCACTTAGATGTTTAACCTTCACTGTGCAGAGTTGGACACTAGAGGCTTACCACTTTTATCTGATGAAGGGGATCGTTTCTCTGTGCTCACCTTAAATCTCAGTTTAATGCATATGAGCATTAAACTGAGGCCAGTTATGGCTTAATGTAAAACTTACACAAATGTAATGTGGAAAGTTAAAACTTTTGGCGCACCTTCACTGAAAATGGTCTTAATGATGTAGCTGACACCTTGTGTTTAGTAAACTTTAAAACAAATATATTTGCTTATTCATAGATGACATTCTGTAGTTTTAAATGAGGCTGAAGAATTATATCTGCTTTTAAGAATTCTTATTTGGGTCATTTGACTTTTCAGACACAATCCTGTTCAATGGAGTATTTTAGGTGTCTTAAGATGTCTGGAGGGGACTGCAAATATAATCTGAATTTAATACTCTACCAAATGTTTTAACAACTGATTGTTTTTGATCATTTTGAGATATAGAAAAGATTTAAAGGTTGTATTGCATTGCTGCAGTCAGATGCAGTTGGTATGGTATGGTATGGTATGGTATACCCTGCGAATCAATGGACTCGGACTCCCCCCCAACAGTGCTATTGTACCATGTGCGGGTACTAAAAGGTTAAAATGCCATTTTGGGTATGCTATTCTATCCTCACACATAAACTGGTGCCACCTCTAGTGCATCACGTTAGAAGTCTTAATAATTAATTTTGAAATGCTAATTCAAGTGCAGCTACACTTGGGACTGGCTGTTGGGCCTGAAAATCAACTCGTATGTAACCTTATCAGTTCTTACTGTCACATCCAACTACAGTATTGTTCAAAATAATAGCAGTACAATGTGACTAACCAGAATAATCCAGGTTTTTAGTATATTTTTTATTGCTACATGGCAAACAAGTTACCAGTAGGTGCAGTAGATTCTCAGAAAGCAAACAAGACCCAGCATTCATGATATGCACGCTCTTAAGGCTGTGCAATTGGGCAATTAGTTGAAAGGGGTGTGTTCAAAAAAATAGCAGTGTGGCATTCAATCAGTGAGGTCATCAATTTTGTGAAATAACAGGTGTGAATCAGGTGGCCCCTATTTAAGGATGAAGCCAGCACTTGTTAAACATGCATTTGAAAGCCTGAGGAAAATGCGTCGTTCAAGACATTGTTCAGAAGAACAGCGTACTTTGATTAAAAAGTTGATTGGAGAGGGGAAAACCTATAAAGAGGTGCAAAAAATTATAGGCTGTTCAGCTAAAATGATCTCCAATGCCTTAAAATGGAGAGCAAAACCAGAGAGACGTGGAAGAAAACGGAAAACAACCATCAAAAGGGATCGAAGAATAACCAGAATGGCAAAGGCCCAGCCAATGATCAGCTCCAGGATGATCAAAGACAGTCTGGAGTTACCTGTAAGTACTGTGACAGTTAGAAGACGTCTGTGTGAAGCTAATCTATTTTCAAGAATCCCCCGCAAAGTCCCTCTGTTAAAAAAAAAGGCACGTGCAGAAGAGGTTACAATTTGCCAAAGAACACATCAACTGGCCTAAAGAGAAATGGAGGAACATTTTGTGGACTGATGAGAGTAAAATTGTTCTTTTTGGGTCCAAGGGCCACAGACAGTTTGTGAGACGACCCCCAAACTCTGAATTCAAGCCACAGTACACAGTGAAGACAGTGAAGCATGGTGGTGCAAGCATCATGATATGGGCATGTTTCTCCTACTATGGTGTTGGGCCTATTTATCGCATACCAGGGATCATGGATCAGTTTGCATATGTCAAAATACTTGAAGAGGTCATGTTGCCTTATGCTGAAGAGGACATGCCCTTGAAATGGTTGTTTCAACAAGACAATGACCCCAAACACACTAGTAAACGAGCAAAGTCTTGGTTCCAAACCAACAAAATTAATGTTATGGAGTGGCCAGCCCAATCCCCGGACCTTAATCCAATCGAGAACTTGTGGGGTGATATCAAAAATGCTGTTTCTGAAGCAAAACCAAGAAATGTAAATGAATTGTGGAATGTTGTTAAAGAATCATGGAGTGGAATAACAGCTGAAAGGTGCCACAAGTTGGTTGACTCCATGCCACACAGATGTGAAGCAGTTATAAAAAACTGTGGTCATACAACTAAATATTAGTTTAGTGATTCACAGGATTGCTAAATCCTAGAAACAAAAACGTTTGTACAACATAGTTTTGTGTTTGTACAGTCAACGGCAGACACTGCTATTTTTTTGAACACACCCCTTTCAACTAATTGCCCAATTGCACAGCCTTAAGAGCGTGCATATCATGAATGCTGGGTCTTGTTTGCTTTCTGAGAATCTACTGCACCTACTGGTAACTTGTTTGCCATGTAACAATAAAAAATATACTAAAAACCTGGATTATTCTGGTTAGTCACATTGTACTGCTATTATTTTGAACAATACTGTACCTGCTTATGGGACTAGCAGATCAGGTGAAGCCAATTCTGGGGCTGATATTTTGTAAAAGTTCAACTCTTTTTGACTCCTGCGAATTAGTGACGTCTTAACTTTTTTTTTCTCCTCCTCTGTGGCAGGACTGAGGCCAGGAACAAGTACCAAGAGTACAAGAAGCTGCTGCTGCTGCTGGCCAAAGTGCCCAGGACAGGTCAGTTTGTATGTAGGCCTGGGGTAACGTTGTGTGCATGTACCAGTTCACAGGGTGCTGTTGTCTTAATTGGGTTGAAGATGAGTTGTATGTCCTGAGGCTCTGTTTGAGGTTAGCAAAAGGCCTCTCTAATAGGATTGTTATTAAATTGGGTTCTTGCACAGTCATGTACTTTGCTTCCTGTTTTATAATTGGTTACTGTCATTGGTGTTTTGTGACTTTGGTACAGGAACCAATAGCACAACAACAGATACAGCTTGCTAATAGTTTCTTATTGCTTATACATTTATGCCACAGTTTGTAGCTGGTTGTGTAGTGATGTGAGTTGGCCAGATGTTGTATTCTGCCTACTGAACCTGGCATGAAAAGCCAGAGTTTTGCTAAAATCCTATTTTCAGTTCACGTTATGAGAGGTGTATTCACATCTGCCAGGTCTAGATTCCCCTGTTTTCCTTTGATGCCACTGCAAGTGTCTGTTGTTCACAGTGGAGATAGTGAACAGCAGTCTATTGGTCAGATGGATGGAGGTTGTGCTGTTATGCAGCGCGTTTCTCCATCTGTACACTTACTGTCTGCTTGGCACAGACAGCTGCACTCTATAAATTGATTACTGTTAATTATGTCCCTCCTCTGCATAATCAGGCTATGTAGTTGAGATCAGTCAGGTGTACTCCTGAAAGGTGCGTGTATCAGTGTGTGTATGTGTGTCCCTTAATGCTCACTGTATCCAGCATTCAACATGAGACCCTTATAATCTTCACTGTGAAGGATCCAGAACTTATTATTAAGGTGAACCAGGTTTCACTGTGTAATCCAGCACAAAGTGCATTCATGACCATACATCTGGTGGAAAAACACAGGAAAGGACACTGCTGTAGACATTATTGTCTAACTTTGAGCGCGAGCCTCTAGTGACGCACTGGGTCGAGGCGTGGATGGCCTAACCACCTCTGGAGCTTCCTCCTGTGAAGAATACCGAGGGGAACCAAGACATGAGTGGCTGACATTGTGCCCAGTAAACGCGTGACAAAAAATGTGCTGCAGAAATGAAAGCACCCTCTGCCTGGCAGAGGACAGCTTCGCTCTCGTGCTGAGAGAGTGCAGGTGCACTCCCAGGTACATGGTTGTTTGGCACGGCACCGGTGAACTCTTCTCCAGTTCACTGCAAAATCCAGCCGTGTCAGATGTTGCAGCAGCACTGCTGTGTGAAAAGCTGCTTGATGTCTGGGCTGAGGAGAGGCAGAACCCCACGTTTAGTTTCGTCGCTCACTTCTTGTGCGGGAGAAAAACTGCCACTCACGCACCAAGAGGTGGGGAGTAGGGAGAGACCACAGAGGGACAAGCAGCGCTGCTAAGTTTTCTGCTGTGGGGAAAACTGTGTTAGGAGAAACAACAGAGCTTTGCTGTGGAGAAAATTTTATCTTAAGCGCATCTCGTATGAGAGAAGATTGTGCACACCCACAGAGAGAGGAGAAACAATTGTCAGAAATTTGCTCTTTATGAATCTGTTGGTGACCCTGAAAAAGGCTGTTGTGTTCAGCGGCAGAGCAGCTGCGTCCTTCGTTGTGGGGTAGGGTTTGTCCCTGCACTAGCTGCAAGCCTAGCAGCTCGGGCACAGTATAGGGTGGCCTGTCTGAGGATCGCAGTGGGGGGAGGGGCAGTGCTCGGTGGTAGAGCGGATTTGCTCCAATAGCTCTGACAGCTGTGACATGTGCAGCCACATGTTGCGTTGGATCATTTCTTTGGTTGCCCAGGCCTTGATGTGCGCCATTGCCACCGCTACAGCGGTACCATGGCTGTCCCAATTTCCTTTGCTGCCTCTGCAGGGAGAGTCCCAGGCCATGCAGTGAGGGAGGAAAAGGATGCGGAGAGGAGACTCGCATTGTTAATCGCCGTACCTGCCTGGGATGCACATTGATGAACCTGGTCCAAGAAGTGACCTGGCCTTGTGAGAGCAGATGAGTGGCCCACCTCCTACCGAAGAACATTGCTTTGAGAGTCAAGATAGAGGAGATGCTTGTTTCCAGTGGCGGACCAGTGGGAAATCCAAGTTGGCCAGACGGGGTGATCGCTCCGCTGCTCCGTATGTAGAAGTCACCCATCATGTTTGATGGGGGGAAGCAGGGGCAACCTGCGGGAGAGGAATGCCCTTGCGGTCTGCTGCCTTTCTGATAATCTCCAGCAGAACGTGGAGCAGAGCCTCGAATGCCAGAGGCTGACCGGTGGCGGGAGCATGCAGCTGAGCCAGAGGAAGCTCGTCTCTGCCGGCATCCATGCCAACCAGTGGACCAGGGGATAGCTGGGGGAACCAGCGATGGTAGGGCCCACCCACGGCGAGTAACTCCAGAGGGTCATCTGCCGTCATTGTCAAGATCCCGCTCTCTGACAGCTAGCAAGCACAGAGGGGACAAGCAGCCTTGGGGGAGAGTGCCAGCTCGGTGTGCTCTGCACCAAGGATGCGGGTCGCTGGGCATGTTGAAGCCCATATCGCAGCCTGGGCACATGGTGACGGCAGTGTGGCTCTGGAGTCCAGCTATGGGAATCTTTGCTCTTTAGCCATGATGAAGGAATGCTCTTTAGACTGCTGAATTAAAAGAGGGAGCCAATCACAGGTCACATTGGCATTAATGCCACCACAGCGGCCCTGTTTTGGGTCAGCCCAGCCGGCTCTGGAGTCCAGCGGTGGAAAACTTTGCTCTTTAGCCATGATGAAGGAATGCTCTTTAGACTGCTGAATTAAAAGAGGGAGCCAATCACAGGTCACATTGGCATTAATGCCACCACAGCGGCCCTGTTTTGGGTCAGCCCAGTGCAGGGCACAGGGCACAAAAGAATCTCTTCAGGACTGCGCATGCGCAAGGGATAAACCCAATAGCGACAGCGCTTTGACAGCAAAGCCTATATGAAATAGAACAATAATTGGCATTTTTGCATTAGAAATTACTCATATACAATAAAACCTTGGATTGCAAGTATAATTCGTTCAGGCAACGTGCTTGTAATCCAAAGCACTTGTATATCAAAGCGAAATTCCCCATAAGGAATAATGGAAACTCAGACGATTCATTCCACAACCACTTATTCATGCAAAAATGATAACAGTAATACAAAATATAGTATAAAGTAAAAAGTAAAACAAATTAACTTGCGCTTTACCTTTGAAAAGAATCATGGCTGGTGTAAGGAAAAAGAGAGGAGCTATTTGCTGGTTCGCTGAAATCTTTTTCTTTTTGTGCTGCTTTAACAAGGAACCTGTCCAATGACACTTGCTTTTGCCTCCTTTTGAGGATTTGGCAGAAATGTGGCATTGCATTGTTGTTAAACAGATTTATCGTTCGTACTGCTACAGCCTTATTCGGGTGGTGATTTCCTACATTTTGCAGTGTTTCCCACATTTTACACATCTCCCTTATAAAATCTTGGGATGTCGGCCACTCGCATACCTCGTTCATGCTTCACGATGATTTCCTTTTTAACTTCCCCCTTAATCACCTACTTTTTATTATCGCCTTTCTTTTCAACCTTTATTTTATCTTCATCGGGGCCATTGTTGCAGTACAGATGTTGACTATATGAGTGAGGCGCTAGAACCATCGGCTCAGTTGTGACGTGACACTCGGCAAACAAAGCGTACGTACTACTCATATTGCAAGACCTCGCTTGTTTATAAAGTTAAAATTTACAAAAAAAATTCAGCTTGTCTTGCAAAACACTCGCAGAACAAGGTTTTACTATAATTAATCAATGATCAGTAGTTGATATTGATTGATTGATTTTATTCTTTCAAACATGCAGAACAGAACAAAATTAGATTATTCTTATGATTGGCCAGTTGCCTCATTATTGCAGCTCTGGATTACACTTAAATATCTCAATATCTTCTGTATGGATGAAACAATTTCTGTGTGAAATAAAATTGTGTGTAAACGTTCACACTCCCCATAAAGTTTAATGATCCTCTGCCTTTCCTCCAGGGGCTTTTTTTTTTTAATTTTTTTTTATTTTATTTTGTGGAGTGTTGATGGTGTGCCATAAAAGCATCCATGTTGTTTAAGCTTAATGTTGAGCATTTAGCTTACAGTGCCATTCCTTACTACTCAATTTTTATGCTGTTTAATTATTGAACACCTGAAATCACACTCAACCGGTAACAGGCTTAGTCATTATTATTATAGAAGAGCCCCAGTCCCCGTTTTTAATTAGAGATATAATGGCTGGTGTTGCCACATCCATAGCTGTTAACATATCTATCTTATGTTGTATATAGTCATTTTAAGTTCAGAATGTTATAAGTTGCATTAACATTTGATTTACTTTGTGTAACTCCAAAGACCTAATCCTGCCCTGATGCTTTTTGTCTTGCTTCTCCAGGTGATTTTGATCTCCAGCAGGTGAAAGAATCCATTTATTTCTTCAGCTGAGAGACTCATGACAGCGAGCCAGTGGAAGGAGATGAGTAGAACTGACAGAATGCAGCAGGGAAGCTGCAGGTCTTGACTGGCTTTGTCTCCCTCAGACATCAGGACATTGATTCGGCCGCATCCCTCCTGCCTCCCAGTCCACAGGCTGGATGGAGCTGATGGAGGTGATCACACACGGCGAACCTGTCTGATTAACTGACTAGTGGGCTGATGGAAGGGAGTGTGGGCTACTTATCCAGGCGAAAGATGAGAGAATCAGCAGTGCATGGGAATGTTAAGACTTCAATCAGTGAAATGTACCTCTTATAATGGATGCTTTGACCATATTCAGGTATATGTGTGTGTGTGTGTGTGTGTGTGTGCGTGCGCGCGTCTGTTCATAATGTGAATTCTGTCATCTCTCCATCACTCAGCAACACTTCTGCTGCTCGATAAGACTTACAAACAGTAATTGCCAGTGATTGGTGATGTGTGTCTGTATATGTGTGCATGGAGTTTTTCATGCCATGAAGTCCTCCACCAAGCACTGAAACTGCCTCTACTACTCTCTCACCTAATCAACAGTCCTGTCACTTGCTGGATGACAGGATGCTCTCTGACACCATGTTCTAACATTTCAATTTTTTTCTGAAAAAAGAGATTAGAGAAGAAAGGATGACTCAAAGAGAAATGTGGAAGGATGAGTGAAGAAAGCATTGTGTCCATGATTCTTACTCTCTTGGAGTGAATGAGCACATGACAGTTACCCCTAAAATAAATGTTTCTTATAGCCTCTCCTTACTCATTTAATGGTTTAAAGAAATAGCTGGTATTCTTATTGCTTAAATGGGATGAATGAGGCAGTCTGCTCTTTAGTTATCTGCATATTTCAGTCCTATTGTGTATCATGTGATGAAGGCCTCCATTTAGATGCACCAAAAAAGGGGTTGCGAGCTTCACTAATAAACTCAGATCTTATTCTTCTGAGCCAGTGCCACATCTAGAAGTAAAAATATCAGAAGTGCTATCTGCTCATTCCTGGAGCAACACTTTCAGACAAAAGGTGCTGTTGATGTCCAAAGGCAAATGTAGGCTTAGCCAAACAAAGCTGGCTGAGTGACAATATAATGAAATGAAATCATTTTCAAGGGGGCATAAATAGTGCAGTGATTAGACAGTAGGCTCTCAGATTTGCACTGAAACAATTACATGGAGGTGCTTTTCATATTTTTAGACAACTTCCAAATTTGACTTGCTATTTTAGGAATACTGAAGCTTCATAATGAACATAATGAAAGTGAAATTTAAAGTGAACTGTTCTAATGCTTGGTGTGCTCTCTGTGGGAGCCATCCATTAATATTGCCAAACTACAAGAATATTCACACATCCTGAATAAAAATTGGATATTGGAGGTTGAAGGGTTTGTGCTTACTCATCTGATTAGCATTGGCTACATAAACCTGATTCCTGTCTGTGTTTACAGACATTTCAAAAGAAAGCGGGCCTTTAATGGCACTAGAAGACAATAACTTACACTGTGTGCACAATTATTAGGCAAGTTGTATTTTAGAGGATTAAATTTATTATTGAACTACAGTGCTCTTGGTCAATCCAAAATGTTAATAAACCTCAAACTTGAATATTTAAGAAAATAAAAGTGATGTTTTGGCTTTCGTAGGAGAATGTATATGTGCACACAATTATTGGGGAACTGTTTGCATGTTGAATTATGCAACTAAATGAAAAACGAACATTTTCCCATCTCACATCTGTTAAAGTGAGAACAATAAACAACTCAAGTTTTACAAATAATAATTTCAGAAAAAAAATAAATAAATAAAAAATCTGTGACCAATATAGTCACCCTTCTTTTCAATAACGGTCATAAGCCTTCCATTCATGGAGTCTGTCAGTTCCTTGATCTGTTGACAATCAACAGTCAGCAAGCACAGCCTCCCAGACACTGTTCAGAGAGGTGTACTGTCACCGTAAATCTGTTTAAGAAGGGCCCACAAGTTCTCAGTAGGGTTTAGGTCAGGTGAGTAAGGGGGCCATGTCATTATTCGTCCATCTTTAAGGCCCTTTCTGGCTAGCCTGGAGCACGTCGATGCATGCAATGGAGCATTGTCCTGCATTAAAATCATGGTCTTCTTGAAAGATTGAGGCTTTTTCCTGTACCATTGCTTGAAGAAAGTGTTTTGAAGAAACTGACATTAGGTTTGGGAGTTGTATTTGAGTCCATCTTCAACCCAGAAAGGACCAACTAGCTCATCTTTAATAATACCAGCCTATACCAGTACCTTGTCTCCACCTTGCTGGCATCTGATTCGAAGTGGAACTCTGTCCCCGTTACTGATTTCTCAACACGTTTCTTGTGACTATTTGCAACAAAACATTTGAAAGCCAGAATATGGTAGTTTAATTTAGCATAAGCAGTGGAAGCAGAGTGAAACTGCTAGCATGACTCTATCAAATATAAAATCGCCTTCTAACACATCTAAAATTTAATGTTATACAACCTCAAATCAGAAAGGTTTGGGACAGTATGTAAAATTAAAATAGTGATTTGTCAATCATGTGTCCTGCATTACATTGAAAACGATAAAGCAGCACATTTTTTATTTGTAATACCTCATCAGTTTTATTGTTTGTTTGAAATAAACGGTTCAATTCTGATGTCATAGTACATTCCAAAAAAACTGCTGCATTTCAGGGCTGGTAATGTGTTAAAACAATGAAATGATGATTCTATTTGAAACAGGTGATGTCAACAGGTGACTGTAATGATGATTTGGTACAAAAGGCCAAACCTGGCCACCTGGGCATCAGCACCTTCTACTGCAACTGGATTCTAGACTTTCTGACCAGCAGGCCTCAGCATGTTAGGTCAGACAGCACCTGCTTTTTCACCATTATCCTCAACACCGGTATACCACAGGGGCTGTGTGCTGCGCCCATTCCTCTACTCTCTTTTCACCCACAACTGCAGGCCTGTGCATGGCTCCAACACCATCATAACGTTTGCAGACAACACGGTGATCGGCCTTATCAGCGACAATGATTAGACAGCCTACAGGAAGGAGGTACAGCACCTGGCTGTATGGTGTGCTGACAATAACCTGCTCCTCAACACCAAGAAGACCAAGGAGTTCATTGTGAACTACAGGAGGGAGAAAGGAGACACACACAGCCCCATCCATATTAACAGGATGGCTGTTGAACGTTGCTCCAGCTTCAAATTCCTGGGAACCCACATCTCAGAAGATCTGTCCTGGACCACCAACACCCGCAGCCTGGTTAAGACGGCTCACCAGCACCTCTTCTTCCTGAGGACACTGAAGAAGAACTACCTGTCTTCAGCCATCCTGGTGAACCTCTACAGCTGTGCCATCAAGAGCATCCTGACCAGCTGTATCACAGGCTGGTATGGAAACGGCTCTGTCTGCGACCACAAGGTGCTGCAGCAGGTGGTGAAAACTGCTCAACGCATCACAAGGACTCCACTTCCAGCTACTGAGGGTGTCCACAGGGAACACTGTCTCTGATGTGCTCGCAGCATTCTCAAGGACTCCTCTCACCCTGCTCACAAACAGTTTGACCCCCTACCCTCTGGGAGGCCCTTCAGGAGCCTCTGGACTAAAATCGGTAGACTCAGGAACAACTCCTTCCCCACAGCTGTCTCCTTACTGAACTCTGTCCCCCGTTGACCCTCCTCTGCCTTCCTATACCACTACACACACCTCATTCCTTCTCACCTCTCCTCCTGGGACTAATGCAATACACTTCTGTTACCTGTAACACTGAAGTGATCTGGTGTGGATGCTTCTTACCCAATTATTTATTGTGTGGATGCGGAATCAGCAGCATTTCTCTTGCAAAAATAAAGTATATCTAATGTGTAGAATAAACTGAACTGTTCATTGTTTTAAATATACCACACCTGTTTGAGTGTTTGTCCAAGAGGTTTATACATTATTGCTGTTCATAAAAAATGTTACATTTTATCTTTAATTGCAAACTTTTGGGGAAAAAAATATTTGCAGTTTTGATGCAAATGCTTTATCGCTGTTTGTGGATTAAAGCAAAATCCTGTGAACTGGGACAATATTACTTACTTTTACTTACAAGTACTGTAAGTAATAAATCATATAACATACATGATAGGATTTGTTTTATTAATTTTTTTTTTAGCTTAATATATGTTTCTAAAGGTAATGATTAACTGAGTCAAATCAGTGGTAAATCTAAATTTGGATGGCCATCATTCCAAACCATATGAGCTGTAAGATTAGGTGCACCATGTGCTGGATGTTGCCCAGGACAGGTTTGCTATCTAGCTGCCAGATGTGGGCCAGTCAAGGACCGTCATTCCAAACCAAATTTGAGGATAAGACAGAGGTGCATCTGGGCCAGATCCGGTTCAGATCAGGTTTTCTATCTAGACGCCGGATGTGGGCTAGTCAAGGACCGTCATTCCAAACCAAATGTGAGCCATAAGACAGAGGTACATCTGGGCCAGATCAGGTTTGTTATCTAACTGCCGGGTGTGGGCCAGTTAAGGACCATCATTCCAAACCAGATGTCAGCCGTAAAACAATTGTGAGTCTGGGCCGGATCTGGTCCACACAAAGTTTGCTATCTGGATTGTCTCGTGGTCTCCAGGGCTGATGTGATCTCTGGATTCAAATACGATCATGTCTCATCTATGTCCAGTAGGTGCCCTCCACTAAGGAAGGTCACTCTGCTGATAGCTATGTAAGCCATACCACGTTCAAAAATGTTCTTCAGTGAAACTATGGCTGATGTCTTGTTGGCTTGTTGTCATTCTCTGAACCTTGTGGATTGTATCAGTCCTCTGTTTCAGGTTGTGTGCTCTTTCTATGTACACTAGATTGTCAGCTGCACACGATGCTCTGCAATGACTGTTCCTTCCAGCTGTTTCATTGTCCATTTTGCGTCCAAGCTTAGTGACGTGCACAGTCATTTTGTTCATCTCATCCTTCAGCTATTTCAACAAAGAACTTCAGCCATTTCTTCTCATCATTTAGCTGTTTCAGCAATTGATTTCAGGCATTTTCAGGGCGGTCCTTCAGCATATCAGCATCCACACGCATTTTCGACAGAAAATGCATTTCTCTAGTTTGAACATACTCTACTCACAGAATACTGCTCTGTATTCATTTACACACTGTACAATTGCAGATACTGTATATTTCTTTATCTTTGCACTATTTACATCCACTGAACTGTTCACTCATGTAACTTATCTTATTCTGCACTATTTCATTCCATGTCATCCCATTGCACTAATGTTCTATAGCTTTATGTACATTATCCATTACTGTAATTTAAATCCATAGTCTGTTGTATATTGTACATTACCCTACATATTTATTGGTAAATTAGCTCTGACTGTTCATACTGTAGATACTGCGCACTCTGCACTGCTGGTTAGATGCTAAACTGTATTTCATTGCCTTGTACTTGTACATGGGTAATGACAATACAGTTGAATCTAATCTATTCTAAAGTGGCATCTAGGAAAGGCCGAGCCCTTTAGGAGCAAAGATGGGGCGAGGAGCGTCAGTTTGCTGACATATGCATACAACCCCAGCTTGTCTCTTCTTTCCCCTCATCTTTTTAAGAGCTCTGTCCTGTAAAGTGCTCTCAGTATCTCACATACTTAATATATATTTTTAGGCAGTTGCCTAAATGTTCTGCTCTACATGACCTGAGCTGTACTGGTGGATGGTGGAGGCTGAGGGTATAAGTGGTTCAGTCAGTATCTGTGGCTCATGTCACAGGAGGGGGTCAGATGGCTATGAATTAGCTTTAAAATGTTGCAGTTAAAATTGTAAAATGACAGAACATGTAGCAGCGTTAGTGCAGAGCAGCAGGTGAAGGAACTTGCACAACAGCCGTTTTTGTTGAGATGAAAATTCCTGTAATTTTCCATTGACGCTGGCTGAGGGAGTAAACAGGATATTGAAGATGCACTTACAGCACATTGCAGTTGCTCTGTAGGTTGATGGGACTGGTGATCAGTGATGTCTGCCGTTGGTTCACAGTGCTACACTGTTCCAGTCTTCAGTAATTTCACAGAGCGTGTAGGAGGCAGTTGGATAACTTCCACTAGCGGTCCTCTCCAAAGATGAACACATCTTGTTGATTATTTAGTATAAGGGAAATACAGTATATAGTGCAAAGGTCGAGTAGGGGATGGCATTGAAAATAACGTACATTGGACAGCCCATCAGTCATGTGCGTCTGTTGATAAATGGAAGCACAAACTTTTTCTTTTCCACTTTGAGGCCACATATCTATTTTTTATGCCTGGCAGATAGATCTGCCTCTGTATATGATGATGTCATTAAAATAGCAATATTCCTTGTCCTTGCTTTACAGTAACTTTCAAAGGAACATGGGATGCGCCTGCTATTATAAAATGTCCTTTGCAGTGTAAATTAGTCTCTGTACTCTGGGGCCTCTGCATATTCCGAATAAGTAATAAAAGTTCTGTCTTGATGTACAAGGCAGTCAGGTTTAGACAGGATATTTACTGGTGTTATTTTTATCTTTATTTTAATGTGGTTACTTCTAGAAAAA